TGTGTGTGTGTGTGTGTGTGTGTGTGTGTGTGTACATGTGTGTGTTTGTTAGAGAAAAGCAAAGTCATCAATAGAATTACTAAACATGGAAACAGAGGCCCGGTATCCAAGAGAAACACGAACAGGAACAGCAAAGGCTGACCTGGGCACTTCTAACCTGTCAGGGTTTAGGAACTCAGAGACAGGCAGCTTCATGTTGATGTAGGAATGACCTTGTTCCTAAATGATCTCTTCCAGAGTTTTGGGGCCAGCAGTGACCTTCAAAGTGAGTGCCAATATCCAAAACATGACAACTGCAGATGTCATCAAAGCCACAGGTAAGGCTGTCTCCTCATGTGTGTGTGTGTGTGTGTGTGTGTGCATGCCATGGCATACATGGCCATGGCAGAGAGCAGCTAGAACCACACTGTCATCATTGGCCAAGTCTGAGGTGGCATGAGTAGCGTTGAGCCCAGCTGGGCCCCCTCGTTTGGTTTCTCTAATGCATTGGCCTGGGTTTTGCCAAGAGACCTTGTTGTGTCTGAACTGGGAAGCTCTGCAAACTGAGGGTTGGTATCTGTAACTGAAGAGTTCACATGGTGCCAGCCGGGAGTACTCTGGGTTTGCGGCTTCCCCCATGGACCCTTCTTGGGGTCTAGAGGTGTGAGAGAACACAGTGGTTTCTGGACAGGTTCAGGGCATCTCTGAGACCTCTTTCCTGGTGGACTAGGCATGACCATAGCAATGTGATCAGTAATGTCATTGAAAAACGTGACTGGCTGCCACTTGGAAGAAGGAGCAGTTTGTACATCTTCCAGAATACGTCCTAACTCCTGCACATGGTGGTCTGTGAACTTGGTAATGAGGAAGATGTTTGGTGTTTGGAGTGACTTGCCTGAAGGATGTTTGTACTCTAAGTCTATTTCTGGGAGGCCGGGATGAGGGCGCAGTCCCAGACAGGGAAGAGTACCAGTCCCCTTTAGCCTTGCACATTGCTAAATTGGTGGATTGTTTTTGTTAATGAATCATAAGTGATTTTAGATGCCAGTGTTCCTATTGACTTTGAGACTGGTAATGCTTCACTCGCCTCTGAGCTGTCACTACAGTGTAGACAGATCCCTTTGTGTAAACCTCCATGTCATGGCTCTTTTCCTGGGCTATACCACTATAGATATTCAAGCCTTGGGATTCTCCCTGTTTGAACATGGATAGAGTTGCAAACACATGTGCAGAATGTAAAAATATTTGTTCCTTTCATATTTTTAACAATACCATGTTATTATGGATGGACTTGATGCTGTGTGAGAGAAAAAAAAAAAGTCTGAGACCATGAGCCCAAGTACTTCGAGCATCCATTCCCACCTTCAAAGAGAGGGTGAGAATTGGTGGCCTACCTAGGGAAGTTCTGGCTATGGATGAAGAAGTAGAATTTTGTCTTAAATGGCATTTCCTGGACCTTTTAGTTATAGAAGGTGACATAAACCTTATCAGTGTCATCAAAAGTTCCTAATGTCTTATTGGGGCAGGCACACTTTACTGGTGCTACGGCCGTTAACCCAACAGAGAACCTTCTGTAGAAGTTCCTGGAATTATTATGAGCTGCCTGAAAGCCCACTCACAGCTTGCAATTGGCCTCTGAGGCACTGAGTGGCACAGAGACGCCCTTTTCCATTAGTGGAGGAGGTGTAACCCTGGTAACAGAGCTTACATTTTTTTTGCTAATTTTATAAAAACAGATACATAAATTAGTGACTAGGTATACACCTAACACCGAGTTTGTCCCCATCAAATGCCACACGGTGTTAAAACACTGAGTGGCAAGTGCAATCACTCTGCTCATTTAGAATATCTTCCTGGTCCCACGTGACTCCTTTCTGGGAATTCTGCTTCATCAATTTATCTTAGTTCCTACTTCCTTCTTTGATGAAGTTATACTAATTATACAAAGATAGTGGCTTCACTGTGACATTTTCATACATCTCTATATGTCCTCTGGTCACATTCATCCCCACAACCCTCTCTGTTCCCCTTCCCCGCTGCCGCTCTACTCTAATAATCCCCTTCTGTTTTTGTATCCTTTTTCAAAGGACAAGCTCCACACATGGGAGAAAACACAAAGCCCTCGTCGTCTTAGCCAGTTTGACTTGCTTTGTTGCCCACCGCCCACCGTGACCTGCAGTCTTACCCATTCTCCTGCAAATGGCATGGCCTTGCCCTTGTCTGTGGATGAACGGTCCTCCACTCTGTTTGTATGGCTCGGTCTCCTTACTCAATTATGGACTGATGGGAGTCCTGCCTAATAAGAACTTGGGGATGAGTGTTAGAATTCATGGCTGCTAAGGTAGCAAGTCTTATGCAAACATGTGCACCCTGTGCTTAGGAGGGCGTGGTGACACTGGTAGTCACTCTGGTTCTGTGCCTTGATCGTCAGGCAGTCTGACAACCACAGAAAAGTCTGTCCTTCCTCCCTTCTTCCCTCCCTCCCTTCCTTTCTTTCTTCCTTCCTTTGTTCCTTCCTCTGTCCTTCCTTCCTTCCTCCCCTCTTCCCTCCCTTCCCTCACTCCATCCATCCTCCTTTTTGACACTCATTACATTTTTCCATTTTCTAATTAGTGGGGACCTTCATGCCATGTGTTTTAATTAAATTCACTCCTCAGTTCCTCTCAGATCCACTTTTCCTCACCCACCCAACTTTTTGTGTTCTCCTTCAAACCCCATCAAATCAACTTGTGCTGCCTAGATACTCGTGGGTGTGGCCTGCTCTGCAGCCGCTATGTGCATAGCCACATGGTCAACCCACTAAGGAGTCACACACACCCTTAGAAAAATCTGACTCTCCTCAATGGCCAGTAGCTCCTCAGCTAGGGCTTGGGGCTTTGTGCCCATGTCTCCTTTCCAAAAAAAAAAAAAAAAGAAAATTTGTTCTTACTCTCATTCCATTGGGACTTTTCCCTTAATCCTTAGTTTTTCATCAACTTTTGTATTTCTCCTTTCAAAAAACAAAAGGCTCTTCTTGCTCTTCTTGTAGAGGCCAGAGTGTATGTTTCCTCCATCTCTATGGAGACCCCACTGATCAAACTTTCCGTAAAGTTACCCCTAATCACCAGGACACACTCATTCTGCCTCTCCTTCATGACCCGAGGTCAGGCTCTTCCTACCAAAGTTGTTCTTCTACCTCAGCAAGTACCATGGCTGTGGTGAGCGATATCCACCGGGTGTGCCTAGCTCATTTGCTGGCTCTTCACTCCGGAGTTGCCTATTCCCAAATGGTCTCAGGAAGAAACAATGCAAAGGCAAGATAAAAATGATTTGGAATCATACCCACCGAAGGGGTTTAGGCAGGGTGACAAAGTATGACTCGTTTTTTAATAGCATTTAAAAAAAAAAACACGCAAACTTTTTTCATTCAGATTGAGATATTCAAGATGTGATAGGCCATCAGGTCTACTGGGGTGAGGCACAGAAGATGAAAGGGAAAAGGAGAGAGCAGTTGCAGTGATATGGATGATGACTGGGGTAGGAACAGGGAAGAGGCCAGCGGCAGTCCTGTGAATGCAGATGATCCTATGGATTGGGACAGTGATTTGTGGATAAGGGGAGTGTCATGGCTGGGGACTGCAGACAGAGGCAGCAGAGCAGCAGGGAACTGGTTGGAGGGGACCTCAGGGGAGAAGTCAGGGGTCTCGGTGTATCACAGAATGTGGTCAAGCGCAGGTTCAAGTCCCGACATTCCTTTCCCAGTTTTGTACCTACACTTAGGTCTGTCACCTCTGGGACAGGAAGTGTTTGGGACACACACATTGAGCAAAACAGGAATGCGATTTTGCCTATGTTGCTATTAGGGATGGATCTGAGAGGAGATGTAGACTGTGCCCCAGAGGCTGTGTGCTGAGTCTTGGTCTTTCTGCGTTGGTAGTGGGGTGGCAGTGGGACCTCGGTGCAATGACCTTCGTGGTAGAGAGCTGGGTCATCTAAAAAACATCATTGAAAGTGATGTTAGAAACTCAGGCCCTTTCCTATCCCCTCCCCAAACATCCCTGAGGCGAGCAATCTCCTCTCTGCCACACGCTCTCACCACGATTCGCTGCCACAGGCTTACAGCAGTCAACGAAACAGCCACACACCAACTCTTCAGAAACTGTGAGCTGAAGCAGTTTCCTCCTCCTCTTTAGTTGATTGTGTCAAGGGTCTCATCATAGTCACGGGAAAGGGGACTCCTATTAAGTTAAGTGTGTAGACGGGCTCAGAATGGGAAAAAGTGCGACTGAGAAAATGTTCCTACTACATTGGCCTGTGGGACATTTTCTTGATTAAAATGATTTGGGCCCAGATCACTGTGAATGATGCCACCCCTGGGCAGGTGGTACTGGGTTCTATAAGAAAGCAGGCTCAACAAGCCATGAGGAGCAAGCCAGTAAGCAGCACCTCTCCATGGCCTCTGCATCAGCTCCTGATTCTAGGTGCACGTCTTTAAGTTCCTGCCCTGACTCCTCTGGATGATGGACTATAAGCTAGAAGATGAAATAAACACTCTGTAATCAGGATTTTACCACTCTGTAAGCACTCTATAATAAGTATTTTACCAAAGTAGAAACCACCATGAAGACAGGCAATGACTATGAGATGTATAACTTTCAGTGACCAGCAGGCCCTGGCTCTACCAATCTTGAAACCTTGCCCCAAATATCCAGGCTGTGCACCCGCTAAACAGTGGAGAATTGTGGTGCCACCATATCAGGATAGGACAAAGATGGACAGGTAGCAAGCCAGTGCTGGTCTATAGCCATTGCTGGGATTTGGTCCCTTGGTGCTCTATGGATGTTAATTCCCTCTCTTCCCCTCTACCAGCTGCTGGTACCTAAAGGCCCTGCTGGGTCAGAGGCTGATTGGAGGGTGCCCTGGCAATGGCCAGGACACACTGTCTATCAGGGCCCCCTGAGAGACTGTGTCTGTGGAAGTGACCCTCCCCAGCAACAGCAGCCTTAGAGAGTTTCAACCTCATGGGGACTCTCAGCAGACACTGCTTCCTCACCTGGCCATCTTTAGCAACGCCAAACCCGTCTTCTGTCGATCCAAGGTTATCCCATCTGTGTCCTCATTGGTTGATCGTTCTTTCTCTGTTCGCACACAGAGGTGTGTCTGCTTTCTCTGATCCTCTTGGCTCGGAGATGGAAGTACCTTCACACCTCCATGGGAGTGTCCAGTTCCAGAAATGGGCATGGGCACCATGGAGAGACATTGTTCACATGTAATGTGTCTTCAAATAAGTCCTGGGGGGCAGGCAGGCAAGGTATGAGCCTGCATACACCAGGTCACATTCTTGAAGCCCTCCACCCTC